GCAGGCATTCAAATACTACAGTAAGGTGTAATATAAAAACCAGAATAGAATAATTCCTTAATGGAAGCTTTTTTCAAAAGTTACATTTTTATCTTTTATAATTTTTTGATTTCTAAAATAAAAGAACCAAAATAGTGAAATTTTTTTGTCTGTTCCAGGGTACCTCTAAGCATATGTTCATTTTAGGTCTACAGGAACATTGTATGATAAGAGTACATGATTGGGAATCAGGAGTTCTGAGTTGTGTTCTTGGCATTGCCACTAGCACAGCATGTGACTGGGCAAGCTGTACCTCAGTTTTCCAGTCTGAATATTTGTGAAGCACTTTGAAATCCTTGGACGGGAAGGTGCTTTTAGAATTATCAAGTATTTGTCCTTTTTGAGTTCTCTTTTTCTTAATATGTTCAGAAAAATGACATTGCCCCATCTTTGAACACTGACTTGAATTTACTCTGTATCAGGCCAGGATGGACACTTCAGAGCATTGCCTTTTGTGCTTTGAAGGAGTATCATGATGCTCTCAGATATGGGATCTGCTCAGAGATGGCTGTTTAAATTCTCAGATCCTATGAAGAACTCTTGGCATCCCTTAAGTTAGTCATTGGAGGCTACAGGGTCAAATAATGGTTCATTGTTGATAGAGATTCTGCTGAATCTGTCAACTTTTATTCAGAACTCAATTATACTTGTATCACAGCAGCATTTCAGAGCGGTCCATCTGCTTCAACTTATCGGTGCCAAATAGATCTGTTGAGACAGCCACACAAGTTACAGATTTTTTTGATGCATGTTCCTTCTGGTGCTATATTCAAACTTAGAGGTGAAGGTTAAGCCTCTAACAAAATGCAGAGTGAGATCTGCATTGCTGATTGAGATCTTCACAGTCCTTTGACACCTTATTTGCTCTTGACTCCTATTTATATATTTCTGAGTTCTTTCCTACTAGCTCTATTTTTGTTAGTCCAGATTGGACAAACATCATTAGGGTCTTGAAGTCAGCTTGGATTTGATGTAGGGTCCATGGCATTTTTCAACCATGTACCTTCAGTTAATTTGATACTACAGTTGCCATATGCATTGAGATTCAGGGCATATTCTGTGTGCCAAGCCAGTTCTTAGTGATAATATGGTTGTATGCAACCAATCTCTGGGGTGAAAGCTGTGCCCAACCTTTGGTTCCTTCAAAACATTTAACTACTGTACTATTGTATGGAACTTCTTCATTGGTACAAGGGGACCTTGTAGCAAGTGATATTCTCGCAAACATTGGCAAAAAATCAACATGCCCAAATTTCCATATGGCACTCAGCATCTTGAGACTTTGAATGGAGGATGGAAAGGAATGCAGTTCTCAAGTCCTTTAGTGCTGGCTAAAGGAGTGGTCCCTTAGTAATCAATATGCAGCTCACAAGGGCCAAGGAAGAAAACTTTTTCTCAGAGAATTTGAGCTTTAACTTCATGAGAAGGATAAAAATTCCTAGAAGGATGTAATGCGGTTCCTGGAGCTGTAGGCCCTACAAGATTCTGTAGTGAAAGGAGAGCAGCTAGCTCTCTCTTATTGCAGTTGAATCAAGAGATGAAGCATAATTCTGCATAATAAGGGGGACACTATCAAATATTGTTTACATCTTCCTTGCATGAGTTTAGTGGAGGCAGTAATGGCCAAAATGAGAACTGATACTACAACAGGATACATGGTTCAGTTTCCCTGAGTCATGAAGAGATGTATTGATTAAAGTATTTCTAGTAGGAAATAAGCACTGTCATTTCAGATATTGCTATTTGAATTGGTATCAGCTCTTTGCATATTTTTATGAAGAGCATGGATGTTGTAGTGGTGTTTTTCCACAAATGCGAAATTGTGCTCCTCTAGCTGGCTGAGGACAGCTCTTTAAAAAGATCCAAGAATCTATCCGGATCACTATCCTGTTGCTGAAATCTGAAATTGAAATTAATTTTAATAAAATTTTAAAAAAATCACAGCTTGTTTCTTAAAATAATTTAGAATACATAGCCCATTCTACGTGTAACTTTGAAAAGTTGTCTTTACATCTTCAAGAGTATAACTCAAGTAGACTTGGATCAAGATAAAAGAGGCAGCAGAGAAATGGTGTGCTTAACAGTTATCTCTCCTATGAAGCTACATTAGTGACCTCTGGCAGTTTTTCCATTTTCCTGTGGGGTTGCTGGCTGTCAGATAGCTGTCTGACATTAAAGGATGATCTGTGAAGTTGGGCTGCTCAGATTCCTGCTGGGGGATGTGAGATACATTAAGAGCCATTCTTCTTGTTGGCAAGTCAATCTTAGAAGGGTTATTTTGGCTTCCTATGGATTCATGACATGCTCCCAATGGGTGGCATGACATTCTCAGAACTATCTTTCTGGCTATTTCCTTAACATAAAATATTTAAGGAATACTGGCTTATTATTCAAGCTACCATGAATCCTACCCACCATTTAGGGTTAACCTTGGGGCAGATAACTTAGACAATTGTTCCTAGTAAAACCATAATAAAAGACTTAAAGATTGATTACTGTGGTCCTTTATGGATGGGAGAACACAACTGCTGAATGATCGAATGGAAAGTTTGATGTACAAAATACAGGGTAGTTAAGCAGAAGAAGATAGTTCCAAAGCCAGGCTGGATTGATTTTAAATCAATTTTAACAGTTGTTTAAGTCAGTAAACAGGAAATCTTGATTTAAATAATTGATTTAAATTATTATTTGCATTTATACTTTTTATTTCCTCCCCCACCCAAAGCAAGATTGATTCCTATTGGTTGGTAACCATTAAAGCATGTTGATTTGTAACCAATCACCTTCACACTAAACTTTTTCTAATCAAGAGGATACACTATATATATTTAAGTAATTACATAGCTTGATTTATGTTTATTCAGATTAAATTATTCAAATAGTTTTTACATTTTACTATGTTAGAAAATGGTGAATGTTGCATTTCTAATTTACTAGATGATGATTAATTTATGCGTAATTGGTGTCAAGCTCTGTTTGGATGGAAATTCAAGTTTAATTAAAATGCACAAAACAAGCATTTACATTTTTTTCTTAAAAACTACTTTTAATATGCTGGATAAATAAGAGAAAAAAGTTTATCAATATATGCTTTGCATTTCAAACTAACATTTATTAAAGTATTATCTGTAGTAGTTAGTGAATTGAACTGATTTTCTGGTCACCATGTCCCTCTAGATTTTAGAACTAGTAGACATCATTCTCACATGCAGTTTTTTTCATTACTGCTTTTTCAGCTCCCAAATGGTTTCTTAACTTTGAACTGAACGAGTTGAATAAACTGGAATGAAGAAAATATTCCCTCTGTAATTGCAGAAAAGGCTCCTGCTCTTAAAAGCTGGTTTAGCACTTCAACAAACTCTGGTTCTAGGTGTTTAGCCAGTGACTTCCACCAGTTCACTGGTATGACTTTCTTTAAAACTTGGAAGCAAGCATGTATTGCTTAATATTATTTTTGTATTTAATTTAAATGATTGTAATAGATTATAGTAAATGTAGGCCTTAACATAGGTTGTCAATTTTAAATTTAATTTTAAATAAGTTTGTTTTTTTAAACCTTATTTATTTTAAATGCAAAAATGTATTTTTTTTAAATTATTTTTTAATCCACCATGCCCAAACCCTTATTCTAGTCTTATGGGTAATGCTGCCCTTAAACGCTTGGGATGCTAGAAGAAATTAGTCTTTATTCCAGACTTTTTCAATGGGAGAAATCATGAGAATTCCACACTCTTATTAGAATTGATCTTGGAGAATTTTTGCTATCTTTGCAGGTGATTCAGAAGGAGAAACCAATTGTGTAACATAGATTCCCCTTCTTCTTTCCCTCTCCTCCCCCCCCTCCCCCCGCTTTTTTTATATTGATAAATTGTTCAGAGATTTGGCAAAGATCTGTAAATTTCAGCACCCAAGAGATATTTGGAATACACTTGATAGGTGCAGTTATAATAAAGGTAATTTTGCTGCTATGGACATGCCTAGGGGGCAGTAGCACAATTAAAATCTGTCATAGTTTATGGGTTTGTTTGATGTTTTTGCACTTCACAGGCCCTGCAGAATTTTCTTTCCACTGGTTAAAGCATAGTTTCTCAGTAAATCATCAATTTCTCATGGTGTAAAAATTCTGCTTTTATCATCGAGGTATGTTAGAAAATAGAATCCAACTTTGTTTTTTTAAAATGTGTTGAAACATTCTGTAGTCCATGTGCAAATGGCAATTTTTGCCTGATTTATAATTTACCCAAAGATTTTCCCAGGGAAAAGGGCAGCTGTAACTTCAGGACTTTTCCACTTTCAAATCTCTGAATTGCTACAGCTATTTTTTAAAAAGATGGTCTTTTTTTAAGATTGGCAAAACTCTATTTCTCACTGAACTCATTTTCGAAAGCATTTGCGTTGTATTTGCTCAAACTAAAAAATAATCTGAGGCAGAGACTAAGTGTGGAATATTTAGCCTTAAAGGGTTATTTTTTTATTTAGATTTAAATAATAGATAGTTGTCAATTATAAACAGTTGAAAAAGGAGGGTTGGGCATGGCAACTGTAACTATATAAAGTACTCATTGCTGTAGTATTCGAGCACCTCACAATCCTTTATATATTTATCTTCACAATGCTCTTGTAAGGTAGGGAAATACTATTATCCCCATTTTACAGATGAGGAACAGGCACAGAGATCAAGAGATTTGCTCAAGGTCAGTGAGAAGTCTGTGGTAGAGTAGGGAATTGAACTTGGGTATCCTGACTCCCAGACTAGCACTCTAACTACTGACCTCGCTTTCCTTCACTGGTAGTCATTGCTTCTGATTTTTGCTTATAATTAAATCCAAATAGGAAAAATTAGATACTGTATTGTACATAACTGCTTGTATTGCCAAAGTGGAAACAAAAGGAAATTGGACACTGTATTTTATCATTAAGAAAGTCTGGATTAATAGAGTGGGTGGCATTTTTATTTCTAGACAAAACATTATCCTGAGATAGTGGAATCTGATGAAATTAGAGGTCGAGGTTCAGAACTGAACAGAAGGCTTAAACAAGTAGCTGCAGTTATTGAAAAGAAGGAGGGAAGAAAACAAATAAAGGTAATTAAAAAAAAAAACTTCAATGTCTATGTATATTCCTTTCCAAATGCCTGTGTTTATAAAAAATACTGATGTCATCTTTTATTTATGGGATGGTGGACCCAACCCTCTTATTAACTTTGTAAATTACTGCCTTTGTTATAAATGCTCTGTTCATTCTTAACATGTTATTTTGGGTCTAGTTTTCTGTTATTTACTGTTGAGCATGCATAATCAGTTTTTTTATATAAGTATATGCCCCTTCAAAAGTTCACAGAAGTTATATTAATCACCTTGTAGTACACTATAACAAAAATGTATATTGGTCAGTCCTCCTTTAGCTAGTAAAACGGAGAATGGGCAGTTTCCCTGTTTCAGCAACAGTGAGAAACATGCTGTCATGAACAATATACATTTTACAGGAAAAAGAATCCCATGGTAAATTTCTGCATCTTACTCGCTATCGCAACTAGGTAGCATAACTTTCACATGCTACTGTTCAAACAAAAGTATATTTTACATATGGCAAAATTGACTTATTCTTATTGAGGTGCTTTGATTGCTTGCCATAAATCTTCATAACTGTTCTAAAGAATCCCATGCACATGAGCAAATAGAATACAACATGCTAATCAATACTTATATTAATGGCTATATTGTCATAATATTGTAACATGCTACACTGTGGTTGAGTTTAGGCCAGTGACTGTCATTGAGGTACTGAAGGTGTTGGGAAGATTTTCTCCCACAATCTGTTAATTGTACCAGTGTCCTCTTTGGGGAAATAGTGGCTCCATTACTGGTGGAGATTCACTGCCTCCGTTAGGGAGGGCAAGTGCTGACTTCTCTTAAGAAAACTGTTGCAGGTTTTTACCCAGGAAACCAACTATTTTTGGTTAATTATAGGCCAGTAATATCTTCCATTTCTGGGTATAATTATAGAGAAGGTAGTGGCAAGACAATACTAAGTACCTAGATACCTTGTATCTTGCCACAGACCTGGGTATGGGACATAATCAGCACTGGTAGCATTAGTAGATGATCTCCTCTTGGTGCTGAATTAAGACCAACTATGCATGCTGATATTGTTAGGTATACCAGCAGCCTTTGGTACAGTTCTTTCTTTGCAGAGTGTTCCTAGAGACTGGTGCAAGGCAATTGTTCCTACATCCTAAGAGCACTGTTGTATGGAGTTCCATAGGATTCCATCTTGTTTCCTCTTCTGTTCAACAGGTATATGGGGCTGCTAGGAAGATTAATGAAGAAGCCTGTCCTATTATGTATTCAGTATGCTGATAACACTGAGCTTCTTACATCCATTCCACTTGATCAAGCCAGTGCTAAAAAATGTCTAGCTTGGTTTTTCAGAGAAATTGGGTAATGGATGAGAGCAAGGTGGCTGAAATTCAGTCCAGACAGTTCAGACTGAGGTGATGCTGGTAGATATGGGGAAGCAACAAAGATGTCACAAAGGTGATATCTCAATCTGGGGGTGATATTGGATTCCCTTTTCCTGTTAGAGGATCACATTGCAGCAATGTACAAGAATGTTTTTTGCCATCTGTCTGGCCAGGTGATTGCAGCTGTTTGTCTTGGATGTGTACCTTGCTACCATACTACATGCCTTTGTTTCCTTGAAACTTGATTATTGCAGTGTACTCTATGTGGGGCTACACCTTAAATCTATCTTAAACTAACTTAAACTGGTGCAGAATGCCGCAGAATGCTTGTTAAGCAGTACTTCTTGATGGCAGCATCTGTTAACAGTTCTCCAAGATTTGCATTGGTAGTCTGTTGGTTTTCAGATGGAGTTTTAAGGTGTGGGTTGATATAAAGTGCGTTGGACCTGCCTCATTGAGAGAGATGACCTTTCTCCCTGTGCAGTACTGTCACAGTTGTGATCAGCACAGGAGCTTGATCCCCTTTTTTTTAATAAAAGGCGAAGGGATGCTGGCTCCTTTCCTTTGAAATGTTCTGCTCCCCAGGTTCTGAAAAAGTGTGACTTTGTTGGCCTAGTGGGCATGCTGCAAAGCCCATCTATTTGAACAACCTTTGGTGAAGGCAGTTGAGCGTGGAATTTGTCTATGGAAGTGTGGCACGTGTCTTAAGCTGCATTGGTCACATGACTTGTGACTAAATGAGGTGTGGTATGGTGGAAGGATGAAGTACTGCTTTAGTTGATTTTTACTTTATATCTCCTACAGTCTAGAGTTTTTAAATATATATCAAGGGCACACAGAACTTTGTATCAGAGTCCTCTGGTGTGGAGTCCAAAATCTAAAGAAATAATGCAGGAACTGCTTTCAGTAAGGTTAGAGGTGAACAAAAATGGGATATTTTTTCATATGTGATATTAAAATGTTTGCATGCAAATCTCTGATTTGCCGCATGTGTCTGTCTAGTGACATGTATGCACAAATCAGATTTACACATACCCATTCAGCAAATGCGTGCTACGAACTTACTGAAAATTAGTCCGCGCTGTTAGTGGTATCCATGAAGAGCTGATTTGGTCTGGAAAGTAAAATCATTGCATCAATTTACCTTATTTCGACAAACAAAAAGGGAACAAGAGGAATTATTCATTGAATCCTCAATTTGAGTCGCTCTTGTTTTTAATTGTTGACTTTCTCTTGTAAAATGTCTGACTTAAACTGTAACATAGAAAATGTTTTTATGTATGGAATTTTGCTGGAAAGAGCACAACTGCCAAGTTGTTTCCATGCAGGCATACTTAATCCAGTTCATTCAGAGACTCTAGATTGTATATTTTACTTGTAATTCTTGTTGTCCTTCAAGTGGTGTCTACATTTTCCCACTCACAGGATGCACCGGCTGCCTGCGGCTCAGATGTGGAACTTAACTAGTTAACTTAACTAGTGTCCGTTGGAGTGCTCATGTGCCCGCCCATTCCTTGCCCCAGCCATGTTCCTGAATAGTCTAGGGGTGAGGTTATAAAAGGATGTGTGATATTTTAACCACCAGCTGAGAGAGATCAAGAACCGCTTCGGACTTTGTGCCTCGATCCTACGATTAGATAGTGCTTAGTTACTTACTAGTTGTTAATTTTAGATAGAAGTTATGTTTTAGAGTTACTAAGAATAAGTTTTTACAGTATCAGTAAGTAAGTTAGTATATAGTATAGTAGTGTTGAGGCGTTGGCTTTGGCCTGTGATTATGGCAGATCCAAAGGTCAAGAAATGGTTTAAACAGTGTGCTTCCTGCTCTTCAGTTTTCTGAGCATTGGATGTGCATACATGGCGCCATGCTGCCTCAGAGAAGGACATTTGACCTCCATATGTGCTATCTGCAGCACTTCTACCTTGAGATCTAAGAAAGACCGATAAAATAGGCTGCAAGCAGTAGTCCTTCAAGAAGTGCTTGCAAGTGAAGCTTACTTGATCAGATAATATGGTTGACACCAAAAACTGACATAGACCAGCCTTGTCATGAGATGTATTGAGGGACAAGGCTAAACATCATATTAGATGTCTTCATTGACATCCCGTGCCTCCACCTCCCATCATCAGCTCAGACTTATAAGAAGTTCCTTAGACAAGAAATCTAGGAAAAGAGAGATTTCAGTGGGAAAGGACTTTATGAGAAAAGCCAATCTACAAATTAGAACCTCCTCTGAATCTGTTATGTTGAAACTGAATAGCGCACCATTGTGTAAAGACTAGAAATATAGCTGAGAGTCCACACAGCGTCACCGGATCCAGATATAATCCCGGTTTCCAGGGACTTGGATCCGATGATGAAATCAAAAGATCCAAAGGACCTAGTTATCAAGACAGAAGGAGGCATGGAAGGTGATCTTGGATTCATATAACGGTTCCAATCCTCTTATGCAACTATCTATCATGGTACAAGTGTAAATTCATCACTCAGATCTGATACCACCTCCCTGATCAGATCCAGAAAATGAAGAACTTTGGAAGAGAAGGAATTCTCCTGAACAGACTGTAGCGAAGAAAAGGAGGGTAGAGGAACGGTATACGACGCCTCCCCTTCGGTTTCCCAAAATGCCGTCAGGTTCCCCTAGCAAGCTTCTCTCTCTGATATTGGGTCTGTTGTTCTCTTCTCTGTTCCTAATCAGATTGGCATTGGATCAAAGACCTGATGACAGATCAGAGCAACGGGTGTTTTCCTCAGTCTGCTTACCAATTAGTAGAAAGTATTTGGGTTCTCAGCCATTTCCAGCAGACTTTTATGGTGGACCATACTATGGTCTGGACCATAACATAGACTTACAGACATTATTGGAGAATGATCCCGGGGACTAGATGGTTGTATTGGACAGTTCCATGTTGCTAACAGGATTTGCAGCACAAGATACAGTGAGCAACTCTTTTTACCTCTACCGATAAGAGGATGCTGGCTCCAATGACATTAAGCAAGGAAGGAGCAATCTCTGCTGTGTTGCATGATTCTTTGTCAGAGGAAGAACAAGTCTCTCTCCAAGATTTTCATGAACTGAATCCTGAGACAGACATTCAGACATCTCCAGGTGAGAATGTAGGGGGTCTTCTCAGTGGCTTTTCCACTGGAGGATGTAATAATATTTCAGGAGTTGGTTCAGAGAATGGCATCTACACTTAAACTGCCAACCATTTTGGTGGAAGAAACTGCAACCCAGGCTTGGTCTACACTAACCCCCCAAATCGAACTAAGGTACGCAACTTCAGCTACGTGAATAACGTAGCTGAAGTTCGAAGTACCTTAGTTCGAACTTACCTCGGTCCACATGCGGCAGGCAGGCTCCCCCGTCGACTCCGCGGTACTCCTCTCGTCTAGCTGGAGTACCGCAGTCGACGGCGAGCACTTCCGGGTTCGACTTATCGCGTCCAGACAAGACGCGATAAGTCGAACCCAGAAGTTCGATTGCCAGCCGCCGAACTAGCGGCTGGGTATAGACGTACCCCCAGTCTCTGATATCTGGGTTCTCACTCTTCTGTAAAACATCATTACCAATTCTAGCTGGACTTCTTCAACCTATTAAATTAATTTAGGCAAATCCT